GTTAACACGGTGGATGTTTAGGAAGATTTAGTTACTTTCTCCCAGTTTGTGAGGTTACTCCGACACTTTCTGGTTTGTCTGTTATCGTCAATGTGCAGCTGAATTTATTCTGTTATCAGAATATCTTCTGATAAAAACACTGAAAAACCCAAAGTTTAAAAGATCCCCTCATTGTGTTGGACATTCTAATTTTCATCATTTTTATACTGCCCTGCCCACAGCATTCTCTTGCTCTAGAAAACAAATTTACCAAAAGGAGAACTTTTTAACTCTTTTCAGCGAATAAAAAATACCTCTGAAAACTTTACTTTTAAAAAATGCTTTGCTTGTTAAGATTTACTTGTCCTACACATACAAAGCCTGAAAGTCTTACTTTTTAATTTGTTCAATACATGTGTGTATATATGCATGTAGGGTTTTACTCCATCTCATTCGTGTCCATGGAGTGGCCAGCCTGGTTTCACATGGGATACTTATTACGGGTGGCTAGTCTATCTAGAATAAAAAATTACTACAAGGTCTTTCTCTCCACTGTCCACCTATCACTCGGAGGTGAATGGCGGAACCTAAAATAGGGCCATGTTGGAACTATTTGGGGTAACTCTATGGAGCTAACCCATCTCCCAGAAACGGTCTTAAATGAAGCAGCTGGTCTGAAACTCCAACTCACTCCTGACATTCAGGCTTTGCAAAATGGTGAAGTCTTTCAGGGCCTTGTAGCCAAGCACTCAAGAGAATCCCCATCGGAACCCATGATTAGTGACTCAGATCAGTGACTGAAACCGCCAAATGATGGCAGGTCAGCAGTGTCAGTCCTCTGTTATTCTGACCTCTGACCCCATTCCAACCTGCCAAATTAGGACAAAGCTCTCTTTCTATTCTTAAAGATATCATTATTTTGGATGTAAAAATATCAAAAATAAGACGAAAGCGACATTTATAGATACTAAAGCAAAGAAAACCACCAACAAAATGAAAAGGCAACCTACTATTTACAAATCAGATATCTGATAAGGACTAATATCCAAAGTATAGAAAGAACTCATATAACTCAGAGCAAAAAACTAAACCATCTGATTAAAAACGGGCAGATCATCTGATTTTTCCAAACAGGTACATGGAAAGATGTTCAACATCGCTAATTATGAGGGACATGCATATCAAAACCACAATGAGATACACCGCAATGTACATTGATACAGCCACGATGGAAAATGGACGGAGGTTTTTAAAATAATAATTGAACTAGCATACGGTCCAGCAATTGCACTTCTGGGTTCTTATCCAAAGAAAGTGAAAATACTAACTAAAAAAAGGCGTACATACCCCATGTTCACTGCAGCATTATTTATAACAGATACGGAAACAATCTCAATGTCCATCAACGTATGAGTGGCTAAGAACATTGTGGTAAGTATGTATGCACCCACTCACACCATGGAATATTATTCAGCCATAAGAGAAGAATAAAATCTCACCATTTCTGACAACAGGGATGGAACTTGAAGGCCTCGCGCTAAGTGAAACAGGTTAGTCAAATACAAATACCGTATGTCCTCTCTTGTATGTGAACTTAAACATATAAATAAATACGCCAAGCATAAACGAGATACATAGGACAGATTAGTGGTTGCCAGAGATAGGAGGTGTAAAGTGGGAGAAAAATTGTTTTTGTTTAAATAAATTGAATAAATAAATAGATGACGAAAACAAGATTAAATTTTAAAAAGACAATATGACGTTTATAAATGATTATCTAGTCCAGGAAACCATCATGCTGGACACTAACAAGTGTTCTATGGATTGAATGGGAGCAGAAGACACGTGGACAAGTTTCTTTGAATGACATCGGCCTGGGAAAAGCCCGGATGCCGTGAGCAGCCAGCCCACGGGATGACAAGAGGCAGGAAAATGAGGGCTTGCGGTTCAGGTATGCAAACAGGTATTCCAGCAATGCGCCTGCCTTAACAAGCTGCACCCCGAGGTGTACGGGGTAACGCGCTCCAGCTTTCAGCTCACCATTAACCTGGCATCTCAGGGAAACCTGATAACGTGCTGTCACTGAAACCGATCCTTCAGCTTCCGTGACTGTTTTCCCCACTCCAGACCCGTTAGAACTGGCTTATAAAGACGTCTCAACCGCACATTTGTGTTTACGGATGGGTGTGCGTTTAGCAATAGACTGGCCCTTCCCAGGAATGTCTGCACTAAACAGCCGGCGCCCCAAGAATTCAGAGACGCCCTCCATCGGCCTGCCAATACCCATAAGGAATCATTCTGAACAGCTAATCCTGCGCCTGTAGGTAAACCAGATTAACCCCAACCGATCTCTCTGCAAACGCTCCGGAGGGACGTGATGTTTCCAATCACTCGGAGCAATTTGCAAGTCCCTCCTGGCGCAGGGTTTGTCTTTCTAGGCTTTTCTGGGTCACCCGATGGGCCCCGCGCGAGCAAAGATCGCCTTGAGTCACTGCTTCAAAGCAGCGCAACCTAAGACGGTCTGGCAGAGCAGCCCTGACATCAAAGCTCGCGCCAGCTTCCTCTGCCTTTGGGATTGACAGGGCGAGTCCGTGGGAGGAAGGGACTTCAAAGAGCTGGCCCCCAGCCAGCCGCAGTGGGGCTCGGCTGTCTCCTGCACTCAGTTAATCCTCCTGAAGGAAGAAATGCAGGTATCAGCCACCAGGGCAATGGAAACGTCTTCACACAGCCACTGGAGCCAGCTCTGTCTGAAAACACGTGTGACGGCTCTGTGGCCTTTTCCCGTGTAATTGTAGAGCACACAGTAGGTCTTCTCCCATGTAATTGTAGAGCACACAGTAGGTCTTCTCCCATGTAATTGTAGAGCACACAGTAGGTGCACAGTAAGCATTTCTGAATGCACGCAGACCTGAATCTAACAGCAGGCCATCGGGTGTGGTATCTGTTCCTGTCATCAGGGGTGCTATCCAATACACCTCCGAATATGGCTCGGCTTCCTGTCTCGTGTGCCCCCAACACTCACTGTCCTGATTCCCCACGCCTCGCTCTCTGCCCTCGGCATCGGAAAAACAGACAGGAGGGCCAGAAAAGGAATGTGCGTATCAGCTCTGTGATCTGAGCTGGAGATGGAACACTGAGAGATCTTTCTCCGCTAGCCCTCCCTCCCACAGCCATTAACGTGGCCCTCAGTGATTTTTCAAAACAAAGTCCTCTTCTCTGTGCCAGCGGCAGCAGAATCGCAACCTCTCTCTCTCTCATCCCTCGTGAACAGCAAAGCGATCCGTACCCCCAGTTAGGAATGTAAATCTCAGAAATGTATTTCCATTCCAAGAAATGAGGCAAATCCAAACACACGCATATTAGAAATTTTAAGAGGACGGATGAAGTACATATTAAAGTATTCCATTTATTAATAGTTCAAAAAATTTTTCATTAAAACTGTTTTATTAATTATTAATATGTTAACATAGTGAGAACAGTGTTATTATACGTGTGTGCGCTTTTTCATCTTGATTTAACCCCTTGTGGTGAAGTGATCTGCGGGTCTGGCTCTAACTTCAGTTTCTTCAGGTACTTGGTTCAGTGGGAGAAAGGAGACATCGCTGGCTGCCTTATCATGACACTTGTTTTTCGGTTCTACCCATTCGTTGTCAGAGGTCTGCCTTCCCGTACTGAACGGTCATTTAAAATGTTCAAATGTGCGCAGCTAGTGTGGCTCAGTGGTTGAGCATCAACCCAAGAGCCGGGAGGTTGCCGGTTCCATTCCTGGTCAGGAGAACATGCCTGGGTTGCAGGCAGGGGGCGTGCCGGAGGCAGCCGAGCAATGTTGATGTTTCTCTCTCATCGATATTTCTCTCTGCCTCCCTCTCCTTTCCTCTCTAAAAATCAATGAAAACATTTTTTGTTATTTGTTCAAATGCTATAAAGGGGTGATGTTGGCAGCTAATACCTCGATGTACCATATATACACAGAGTATCAGCCACTCATAGCAGGTTCGCATCCAATACGTTGAAGAACTGGGATTCGAAGCCGAAAAGCATGCTTGCAAAGTCAGTGCAATAAACCCTTGCTACTCAAAGTGCGACCACAACCAGCGACAGCTGCTGGGAGCTTGTTAGAAATGAGGGTTCCCAGGCCCCGGCCCGCGCTATGGACTGAGCCTGCTTTTTGACGAGATCCCCGGATGATGTGTAAACACATTCCACACAGATGTGATAAAACCACTTAAATGCCTCGTACCTGAGAACCCTAACACCTATCTGCAGGCGCTCACCCCTAGAGAACTCAACTCCGCACGGTCTGACATCCAGACATTTTTTAAAAGCCTGAAATGACTCACCTTTGAGAGAGGCAGAGACACACAACCATCTATTTATCTATATTTTTTTTTATCTTGATCGTTCACATGACACATGCGCAGTCTGCATGAGTGAGGCTTTCTAGAGAAAAGCTTCCACAAAATCATGACTATCTGAACCTCTCATATTGCACGTCAGTGTAAGCAACAGTCGCTGCATTTTCTGCAAAACCGCTATAGAAGCCCCCTAAAATGTGAACTACTCAAAGGCATGCACCCAAGTTAAGAACTAGCCGAAACCGGTTTGGCTCAGTGGATAGAGTGTCGGCCTGTGGACTGAGAGGTCCCAGGTTCGATTCCGGTCAGGGGCATGTACATTGGTTGCAGGCACATCCCCGGTAGGGGAGTGTGCAGGAGGAAGCTGGTCGATGTTTCTTTCTCATCGATGTTTCTAGCTCTCTGTCCCTTTCCCTTCCTCTCTGTAAAAAATCAATAAAATATATAAAAAATAATAAAAAGAAATAGTGCAGTGCATCAGTACAGAGCAGCAGCACAATTAATATTTGCTGAGTACGTGAAAGAAACAGCGATCACCCACAGCCCTTCTTCCGGTTGGCACTGCGATGATGAACACTGCATATATATCCTATACCCTCCCAACAATCCTTAGGAGCAGGAGTCAGAGGCTGAGGGAGGGAAAGGAACTTACCCAACATTACATACCTGCTGGGAAACGGGAGTTCAATGCAGGTCTCACTTCAAAGCCCATGAGCTAGACCAGAGGTTCTGAAAGCAGGCGAACATCACAGTCACCTGGTGAAGTTTTAGCCATTCCCCCCACTTCTCTGCGCCCCGTCTTGTCCTGCTCTGACTCTAGAATCACGTTCCACACGCTCACAAGTGATTACAAGTAAATAAAACCCCAAAGTGAATGAGCGCAGTAACAGATGATCCTGCTTATATCATCAATGACATAAGCATGTTGAGGGGGGGAAGAGCTGACCCTAATAAACATGGATAACATGTTTTAAAGAAAAAACTGTAGCCGAAACTGGTTTGGCTCAGTGGATAGAGCGTCAGCCTGCGGACTGAACGGTCCCGGGTTTGATTCTGGTCAAGGGCATGTACCTTGGTTGCGGGCACATCCCCAGTAGGGGTTGTGAAAGAGGCAGCTGATCGATGATTCTCTCTCATTGATATTTCTGGCTCTCTATCCCTCTCTCTTTCTCTCTGTAAAAAAAAATCAATAAAATATATATATATATATTTTTTTAAAGAAAGAACTGTACCCAAATATTGTATTGGAGTTAGTATGTTTATTTGTCAAGGGGGGATTGGATAGTGAAACTACTTGTGTCATGGTTTCTTTCTCAACGTTGGCACTCCTGGCGTTTGGGGCCATGTAACTCTTTCTCCTGGGGGCTGACCTGTGCATTGTAGGACATTGAGGACAACAAAACATCCCCAGCCAATGCCAGAAAAGTCCCCGGGAGACAAAACCGCCTCCAGTTAGAACCCCTGCCTTATCTGTCTACGAGGTTTGAACGAGTAAAGTAAACATATTAGAGAGAATGGAGCCAGGTTCTCTCTCTCATGCTGGAGGAAAGAGTTACAAATAAGAAAGGGAGAGATGTTAGAAAGAGCCCTGTCCTGTTGGATTTGAGTAATGAGTACCCAGGGACTTGCTTTCCAGCTTAGAAAAATCTTTACAAATTTTGCCTTTTTAAAAAATCAAGTATTACAAGGCAAGCGGGGTCCCCTTCACTCCACAAGGCTAGTGGAACATTCTGGATCCTATTTCCTCTCTTCTCTTCAAGGAGGTCATCGCTGCCCTGAATTTGAGGGTTTGCATTCCCATGCATGTCTTACTCTATTACTACATTTATGTGGGAACTGCTAGAAAAATCTTCCCATTCTGAAGAAAGGAAAAACCCTGCATGCTTAAAAAAAGGAAAAATTGTTCTCTGTCAGATGCTCTTCCAAGAATTTTAACTGAACAATGCCTTCTCGTTGTCATGACAACCCTAAGAGGTAGGTATGTTACGGCATTTTGCTATCTGCTACATCAAGTTTCCCTCAGTTACTCTCCTTTTCAGAATTTGCCTGGATGTTTTCACCTATTTTTTTCCTTCCCGGCAAACTTTCGAAGCATACACATAGCTTAAAATACAATAACGACATCCAAAACTTTTCAATTGAATTCATTCTAGCAGGCATCTAATTAGTGTTTTCTGATGCTATTTCCTACCTAAAATATTCTGCTCCTCTTAGGTCAAGAGATGTTCCTGCCACTTCCATTCTTTCTAGGCTCCTAGTATGTAGAAAAGAAGAAAGCCAAAATAGTTAGAATAATTCATAGTACATTTTATAGTTAGCATGGGAGGGGAGGGAGAACATACAACTGTAAATTCAACCTTAATTTGGAATAATATTAAGAAAAATTTAAATTTAAGTCCCTCTACGTATGTAACGCCCAAGCTAAAGGATCCACCAGTCCCATCCCGTTATAAGCCCCAAATGCTCCCTCATTGTGTAGCTTCACTTCACCCCCTCCAAAAATTAGTAAACCAACGATTTCCTTTGATCTGATAATCATCTCATTTTCATTTAGAGCTATAGTAATGGTATCAGAATTCTTCATGCAGGCTTAACTTTAATAGTTTCATTTGAAAAGCTACTGCGTAAATTCAGTTGTAAGTTACATCTCTCAGAATATAGAAAAAGATCAAGGAAAAGATATGATCCCTCTATTTTTCTTTGTCGTCGTTTCGTCATGTATCATTTATTTTGTTCTTTTATAATCTGAATCAACTAATCCTTAAAAATTATCATGAGCTACAAGCTGTGTTAGCTCCTCAGAGAGAAAGAATTCCTCTGTGAAAAGATCTCACATTGATGTTTCTCTCTCTCTCTCTCTGCCCATCCTCCTCCCCTCCACTCTATTGAAAAGCAATGGAAAAATATCCTTAGGTGAGGATTAACGGAAAAAAAAAAAAAAAGTAGTGCTTGAATCAGATTTTAATTATATTCTTCATGGTCTTTAAAAGGTATTACTTTGGTACTACTTTAATGAAAAAAATAAAAGCTTGCTACAAGAGCAACTGATTATATATAACACGAAAACCTTAACTAAGAAAAGGATTAGTATTTTGTTTTCTCAATCTCAAATACACTCAAATTGTTACTGACGTTTTCCTTACGTTTTAAATTGACTAATTTTTATATTTTATGTGAAGAGCTGCTTTGTTAGTGCTATGTGAAACCTATGATTAAGAAACTCCCAGTAAATATTTACATTCAAAAATATTTTTTCTTTTATTAGTACCTGTGATTTAAAACAAACAAACCATCTCTTAGAGCCTGAGGCACCCCTGTCGTTGGAAAATTACAAGGACATTTACACTTATCTGGAGTTACTGAAGGCTCAGAGCCTTAGAAAACTTATGAAAATTCACAAAATGCAGAAAATTAATTTTGTTCCCTTTTAAAAAGAAGACTAATTACACCAAGCAATTCATTTCTTGCCAAAAGAAGGTTCGAGTCTTAATTAAACCAAGGGCACCATGAGAATTTATTAGCCTTGGTTTCACCTGGAAACAATGTTCATCTTTCATTGGTGAACATACTAGTTCAGTGGTTGGCAAACTCATTTGTCAACAGCGCGGCAAACCGTGGTTCGAGTCGCATGTGGCTCGAGAGCCGCAGTTTGCCTACCACTGTACTAGTTTAATTGCTAGATACAAAAGATTTCTGAAATAAACTAAGATGAAAAATGTTTAACATTATGTGAATCAAGAATATGAGCATTTGAGCCAAGACCAGTTTGGCTCAATGGATAGAGCATCGGCTTGGGGACTGAAAGGTCCCGGGTTCGATTCTGGTCAAGGGCATGTACCTTGGTTGCGGGCAAATCCCCAGTAGGGGGTGTGCAGGAGGCAGCTGATCGATGACTCTCTCATCGATGTTTTTAACTCTTTATCTATCTCCTTTCCTCTCTGTACAAAATCAATAAAATATATTTAAAAAAAAAAAAGAATATGAGCATTTGAAAAGTTGGATCTTCAGAAAAGCATGTCTAAAAATTATCTTTGAGATGTTCCTTTTTGTATAGATGTTGCTACTGAAGAATCTGAAAGTATTAAAAGCGCTAGAGTTGAGTCAATCAGTAGCCAGATAATCTGTATTTTTCTTCAATGAAAAAAATCTGTTACCTGAATTCATTGTTTTAAGCTTCTTAAAAGAGAATCTTAAATACACAAAGCTATGGATTGACTTCAATTTCTATTTATTAGATCTCTTTACTAAAACAAGCAATAGATGCCTCCTCTAACAAATTGAATAATATAATGATAAAGAGTTAATAAATCTTCTTAATCCCACTCCATGAGATAATTAATGCTAACTACCTAGTTATCCCTCCATGATGCTCATTCAGCTACTGGACCACTATATCTCCTGTGGCTTATGTTCCTGGGGTGTCTGTACTCCTCAAAGAAAATACTGAATTATCATAAAACACAACAGGGGGCCCTTAAGTGACAACTCAAACAGGAACAAAACCAGAACTTGGGCTAAAAGTAGAGACTATTTTTAGAAATTTGGCAAGCATACCTGCCTTTACTAGTTAATACCGTGTGTGTGTGTGTGTGTGTGTGTGTGTGTGTGTGTGTGTATGTGTGTGTGTGAAAGAGAGAGAGAAAAATCAGTACTATACCCTGATGCTGGAGCATAAAATAAAATACGCATCAGGGAATCTGATATAACAACACTACCACTCCCAAAGTATTGTTTAAGCAACAATTTGGGGATTTTAGCTTTCTATGTCTATACTTAAGAGATATGAAGCCATAAAACTTTGCTTCCAATAATTTAATTGTGGAAAAAAAGATGATTAATGTCAAGTGACACTTCTTTAGTTTTTTTCTTTTTTTTTTTTTTTTTTTTTTTTTTTTTTTTTAAATATATTTTATTGATTTTTCACAGAGAGGAAGGAAGAGAGAGGGATAGAGAGTTAGAAGCGTCGATGAGAGAGAATCATCGACCAGCTGCCTCTTGCACACCCCCTACTTGGGATGTGCCTGCAACCAAGGTACATGCCCTTGACCGGAATCGAACCCAGGACCTTTCAGTCCGCAGGCCGATGCTCTATCCACTGAGCCAAACCGGTGCCGGCAGTTTTTTTCTTTGAATAGAAAAGGCTTTCAAGACTGAAGTGCTTTAAATGTGATTTTTCTACTCATCGTGGTAGATACAGATACCTCGCACTGTCCCTATAAACATGGGGGGACATTTCTAAATAAATAAAGGGCTCAAGAAGCTACGTTGCAGGAAAACTTCTTTCAAACAAAAATTAATCCCAAGCCAATTGTGTGGAAAAGTTTTCCTGAGACTTGGTTCTATGTTTAGTAAAATAACCTGTTTCTTTGAATGCTCTATTAGAAGTTACAGTGCATATGCTACATGTAACATTCTTTAGGTGAACAGAAAAAGCAAGTCGTTTTTAAGCAAGTTTCTAGGAATAAGCTAAGAGTTTATGAGCAAGAAGCTGTTCGTTTTAATTACATCAGGGAGAAAAAATAGACCACATTTCCTGAGGTTTAAAGAGGGGTGGAGAGAAAGGGAAGAAGTTACATCGTGAATGGCTGCCCTGAATTGTAAATCTATAACATTTGAGGGCATAGGTGAGTGACACCCCACTGCTTTCCCGCAGATTCCTCGCCAAGTTAATCATCTAATTTGGCAACGAGTCTTAAGGTTATCAGAAATTTC